CCTAATCGTCACTAACATTCACAATTCTAACTCAGAAACTCAGCTCGCGTTCTTTTATGATGACCAGATTGGAACAATAAATCAACTGTCAAACCATCACGAGCTAGAAAACCATGTCCACGAAAAGACTTGCACAGTTCACTTTATGAGGAATCACGCATGCGCACAAATCTCCTTTGTGTTATTTCTCTCGATCGAAGAAACAGAGTCGAAACCATTTGCTTTCCAAATTTTTGCTATGGTTCCAAAATTAACTGGTTAAAATAAAACGACAAGAGCAATATAAAATATGGCGTACAAAGATCATAAATTACAAGAGCATATATACAGAAAAAATTGGACTTAAGGTTGGTACAAGCATGTATTGTTCAAATAAATAATTTAAGACTCTAGATTTCTGGAATCGGCTTTTTTCCTTAAATTATGTTATAGAATTATCAACTTACCTCATTCATGCACTGTAATTTGTTCTCCTGATTAGGCCCCTCCTTAGCAGCTGGCGTGGAATCTTCATCGTCGTTAGTATCGTCACTGTAAGTTTCCCATCTCGCCTGGCTGATATTCTTCTCTTCAACTGCAAGTTGTTCCACAGCAGCTTCGGCGCCAAAACCAGTTTTACAGTTCTCCTCTTGATTGTTGACTTGAGGTAATTTACTCATTTCCTCAGCAGGTAATTGTACTCCAACTGCTTGGGTCTCGAATCATCTGTCAAATAAACATTTTTTTAAAATTTAAGTTCATTTTTCACGTTTAAAACAAGCAAGGACATAAAATACATCAGGTTGCTAAACGACAGCCACTTAGACAGCGAAAAAGTTCAACCAAAGGACTAAATATTTATAAATATGTCATTTGCCTGCGGGAAGTTTCTACTGGGAAAAACTTTGCCGAGATCTTAAGGGTTCAAATGTTTCAAAATCATTTCTTACAATAACTGTCAAATTTCTCTCGTGCTCATTGGCTATTTTCTTTTTATCTTCAATTTAAAAAGATATCGTCAACATTTTATGCGTAGTACTCATCCTCTTATTGATGATAAATTGTGTCACAAGATCGACCGATGAACCCTATGAATCAACCGAATCGACCAGCCCATTCATGATCACATGACATCTAACAATGAAACTGTTTCACACCAAATGCCCCGAGCGGGAAACAGTTCACTGTTACCCGCGAAATGTTGGCGGCTGTTGCACGTCATTTCTCAGTAAAGTGATTAGTTATTTTCCACCGGTTTGACCCATTTGTTTTGTTATATAACAAATCACTTGATGACTGGTCCCTTGGGGAACTGTGAATTTTGTTCCCCTCGAATCTCAATGTTTCCCCGAGACGAACATTGAGTCTCGGGAAACAAAATTCACTGTTCCCCTGGGGACCAGTCATTAAGTGTTAATTGTTTCTCGGTAGACTCAAGCCCAACTCCTCGGTCATGCATGCTTGTAAATATCCAGCTGGTCTGCCTCCCGCCAATTGTGATTTTTAAGCCTTTT